GTACCCATTTTCTGAGAGAGAAGTCAACTACAAAACAAAGCTGCTTTTTCTACTCCGCCATAATCACATTTGAGGCTAGCTCTATTTTCTGTATTAAAATTGGTATGTTAGTCTTCCTGGTTGTTTGAGGTGTACGTAAATAATACATTTATAATCTTTGATTATATTATTAGTTCTCAATTTGGTAATCATTAATTCCTCTCGGCTGTAAATTTTGTGCAGCCATTGGAATTGGGGAAGATTGTATTATTCTGAACATAATAAGGCATTTGAAATACGCCAAGATAAAGTAGATGCAAGTGTGTTTGGGTTGAGTGCTTTGCCAGGTGCACTAGACCCAGAAAACCACATTCTGTCCCAGTTAATTTGTTTTGTGGCATGAAGCTATGTGATGGAATGTTAATGTCAGCAACCTCTTTATTTACGCACTGAAGAAAAAGGAGTAGTAATTAACACTTTGACACTCCCCCATTGATGTGTAATTGACTGTTTCAAAGGAGCACTGGTTCATAAGCTATTGCATGCATTAAAATTACGTTTTCTATATTGCAGCATTTTAAGACAGGGGTCAGTGACAATGCAGAAATTGCTCAATGATGCACATTTTTTTATTACTGCATTAAGGTTTTGACATATTAGTAATGAATAAATGTTTCCATAAAATTAGATTTTTTATAACTTTAAAATTGAAATACGACACAGAACACTGTGACTTCCTCTTTGAAGGTAGTACTCTACTTTCAGGAAACAACACAGCTTCCTACAGGTCTTTTTAACTCATACTTCACTGGTTTAATAGTTTGATTTTGAGAACAAGAGTCCTAAAGGCTTAAGTTTGGCTTTTTGTTTTAAAGCACTGGTGACTTTAAACATCAGTTTGAAATGTTTTTAAGGGCAGATATCAATGTGTAAGATAGATCATGGTTTTATATAATTCACTCTAGATATAATCTTCATTCCTCTGTTAGGTTTTTTGATTTCTGGTAAGCTTGTAACTGCACAGAGTAAAATAAATTTAACTTCAAGAGAATTTTTAATTATAGTTTAGAAAGTTTAGGACTTTATCATTTTATTGTATTAAAAGAGAGTTCTAATCTGCCCATAGAATTGATAATGTTAAGGAATTTTCTTGTATTGCCAGATATTGAGAAAAATCTTCAGTATTTGTTCTCTGTGATAGGAAAGACGTAGTAAGTAGCATATAGCATTTGTAATTTACTATGCAAACCAGAAATCAAATTCCCTGTTTTGCCTTTTGTTTCTTGGAATTCATGCAAATTAGCAGTTACTTACTAGAAATCTGTTTGTAAAAGATACTTTGGGGCAAACATCTTATAAAATGTGTGTATTTTTGGGTTTAGGTGTATTATTAAAGATCTATTACAGCTGAAAGTCTGGTTACAAATGTCTAGATTCCACAGGTGGTATCAGTTTATCTCAAAACACTTTTAACACTTGGCCCAACAAGTAGCACTATCTCGTGTCAACTGAATTGCCCTAACATGTCCACATGTAATCCGGTGTTACCCAGTTGCTACCTTCTTGCTTCAGAAAGTTAATTAGCATCTAATTTGCATTTGTTAATTAGGGTTAATGTGCACTAATTGATTTTTTGATGCTTGTAGATTTCCATTAAACCTAGTTAGCAGTACTTACTTGGGTACCTCATTCATTTGAGTTATGATCATGTTTTTGTTGAGTCTGTGCCAAATAGAAAGCCTGCATCATAATTACAGCTAATTAACAGACGATTAAGTCCTATATTAATGGCTTCCCTAGTCTTCTGCTAATATATGAATGTTATAAATTTCAGTTTTATTTATGGAGTGGTTAGAACTTTTTTAACAATACAAACTTGAGGCTCTTAATTACTAGAGGGTACATGGTCAGTCATTTGCTGAGTTTACATAATCTGAAAGTTCAGAGAAAAGAAACGTAATTCTAGATTAATCTTAGAAATTTGTTTTTAGAATTAAGAAATTAGCATCGAATCAAATATATTTGATGTGTTATATATAATTCAGCTTCTGTTTATGAATAGGTAATAATTTGGATATTCAGGATTAGTAGATAGTTGTATTTCTAGTTATTTTATAAATGAACTTGTTTTCTAGGCCTAGTACTGCCACTGCCACTTTATGACTAATAAGTAAGTCACTCAATCTCTTTACTCCTCAATTTTATTGTCTTTTAAAGTGAAAGGCTCAGGCATTAAGTTTCCTTTTAGGTCTAATGATTGTTAGTAATCCAAATAATTGTAACAATGTTCCATTAGAAATTATAAGGCAAAATTTTGAATTATTTATAGTTTTCTACTTTTGCCTTAAAAAGAACAGGTGTCACTGTTAATTTTTCTAGTACTTATCACTTTAACCTATAAATGTTAAATGAGAAACATGCTTTTAAGTATTAAATCCAAAGTAGCCTGAAGGGAAATGGAATGCTTTCATAGCTGAGTGTATATTAAAATATTTTAAAACTCCATGTTTACCAGTAACACTGACAGAGGACAAATAGTAAGTAGATAAGGAATCTAGTGTTTAAAGGGAGAGTTATTAGTAAAAATAAGCTTAAGTAATCCAATTGAATAAAAATGTTCTTATGAAATGTACTTTGTATACTTTAGCTCCTAAAATGTATAAATATTAAAAATGTAAATTATATAAAACTTCTAGGGCCTGAAAATCCCATTTTATAGGTTATTCTCAACTTTAAAGCTATCACCAGTGGCACTGGAGCAATAAATGTAGTTATAGAAAAAATTTAAATGCTCCATAATTTAATTATGGGGTCAGTTTATGGTTTGCAAATATAAGAAGCTTTGTCAAGATTACTCTATGTACGTGCTCCAAACACAGTGACTTCCACAGTTTCACACGAGAGTTGTAATCGTGTAGATCTTTGATTAGTGTGGATACTTAGCTGGTTTCACTGCTGTGTTACTTAGGTCTCCTACATGAACAGAATATGGCAAAAATGAGACTACTTACTTTTATGGGAATGGCAGTGGAAAACAAAGAAATTTCTTTTGACACAATGCAGCAGGAACTTCAGATCGGAGCTGATGATGTTGAGGCATTTGTTATTGACGGTAAGGCAATTAGAACACTTCCTTTTTTTTCTAGAATTTCTCTTTCTACCCCGTGAAACATAAGACTTTTAATCTCTAAACTGCGCTTTATGCTAACAAAGCTAGATTCTTTTGTCGTAAATGTGTATGTTTAGTAGATCAGCAGATTATATTTGTAGTAGAGTGAAAATTCAGTGGAAATATAGATAGCTGTGTGGTTTTTGGTGTGTGTTCTATTCCTTTAAGTCGTGTAGAACAGAGGCCTTTAGGCAGTATTGTAGCATGTAGTATGTAGTGGTTAAGAGCCTAGATTTCAGTATCAGGCCTGTGTTTGAGATCAGGTCTTCCTCTATGAAACAGGAATGTAGGAGTTGCGGTTGTGAGGATTAAATTAGATTAATGCAGGTAAGGCACTCAGCTCAGTGCCTGGCACATAGTAAATGATCTACAAATGTTAGCCTTTATCAGTTTTTTATGATTGGCCAAGGAATAGGACCTTGTTCCCCAATAATTGCATTATAAAGTGATTTAACTGTTAATTAGGTTTTTTCTAGAAAAGCTTTTTAAGATTAATAAAATGTACAGAACTTTGACATGGTTTGTTTCTAAAGCTCTAAGTCTCAAACAGTCCTATAAAGAAGTAATATCTTATTAAGAAACTAGCCCCCCCCATGTGATTGTAGGCGAGAACGCTAGAATTAATGAAAACCGCGTGTGATATTTAGTAGCGATAGGCCCAGCAACCAGAGGACAAACAGCCTGCCTTTTGGTTGCATCATCTTGCTGTGCTTGTTATTAAATTCAGAGAGCGAGTTTGTAAAATAATGTTGGAAAACTGTGAAGTTTTATTGTGGCCTACTTGGTCACAGTTTCATACCGTAGGCTTTTTTCCTGGGGATTTTCCATATAACATGTCATGTAAAACATCTTTTTTCAGCGGTAAGAACTAAAATGGTCTACTGCAAAATTGATCAGACCCAGAGAAAAGTAGTTGTCAGGTAAGACACTTAATACTTTGCAGCATTTTGTAGAGCAATTTAGTTTGTTCTGATTATTTCACTTAAATATTTAGAGAACCAAGGTGGTGTTCTTATCAGTTGACTGTAGTTAAATAGTTGCTATTTATCACAATTTTATTAAAGTTCAGACTGAATGTGATTAGCTTATTTAATGAAAGAGTCCTATTTTCCAGCACATTTCATTTAATGGCTCAGCACTGGCTAGAATACTAATGACTTCTGTGTCTGGTTTATGTAGTTCAGGAGAATAGATGGTTTAGGGTCAATATGGCAAATAAAGGTTTTTAAAAGTAAGTTTCTAATAATTCTCTTAGAACTCTAAATTATGTTGTCTGTATATTTAACCTGCTTTTAACTAGACACAAGTGTGTAAAATTGTAGAAGAATACCAGAGGATAAAAGGTTGACTAATAACTTTTTTAATTTTCCCAGCCATAGCACACACCGGACATTTGGAAAACAACAGTGGCAACAGCTCTATGACACACTTAATGCCTGGAAGCAAAACTTGAACAAAGTGAAAAACAGCCTATTGAGTCTTTCTGATACCTGAATTTTTATGCTATATAATTTTGTCCTTTTTGGAAAAAAATCTAAATCATAGTAAAACATAGACTGAAATCTGACTACAGTCTGGACATTTATTGGTCTCAAATTGAAAAGAAATTGAAAACAAATCACAAATCTTCAGAGGATGCAGAGTAATAAGTTACAAAGGGTCACTATCTTGTATAACACATAGGTTGTGTTCTGTAAGGAAGGGTTTGAGGTGGAACAAGAATTGGTGAAAATACATGGAGGAAGGAAATTTAATGAAGGGGAACTGGATGCTAACATCAAACCTTGCAGTCTTAGCGATCTTAAATGAAACACTTACTGAGTGAAAACAATAGTAATAGAGTTTCATAAAATCAGGAAGAGTTAGTACAACTCTAAAGCTTCAGATCTAACAGTCACTGTGTTCTAGTCTAAACAACATTGATGTTTCAATTAAATCAGTTCACCGCTGAAAGCATTTATCAACATTATTTTAATCTGTTGTTTTTTCTTCCATCTCCTCTGCTTTTCTTTTTTTAGGCTGATTGTCATCTGAGCTTAGAAACTTTTCGATTTCATTTATTTGATTTGTCACCAGGCTCTGCCAGTCATGTTCACAAGTAGGAGATGCAGCCAAATCAGTAGTGTCTTTAATCTTGATAGCCTGAAAGTGGCTTTGTAGCAGAGTTGATTTCAGAGGCTTTGTTTTCACCTAGGAAATACCAAACTAGTTTACCACTGAAATTATTACTCATTTTCTAAACAGTCATCAACAAGAGTTTAAAGAATATCCTTAAGCCTCTGCAATTATAAACGGTGATAAAAGCCACCGTTTTCTTGGCTGATTTCCAACAACTACCTTAATAATTTTGACTCCAGAAAACTAAAATGTCAGTTTGTAGGCTTATGTAAGTAGCTCTTCAAGAGCCCTAATACATTCCAGGGGTACCACATTTTCTTGAAGGTTTTTAGCTTACACTGAAAGAAAACATTGAAAACAAGGCAGATAAAAATCTGTTTTGTCTTTTCTCTTCCCTTCCCAAGCATGTCTATGTTTTTTATTTTCTATGAAAGCCAAGAGAAGATTTTAAATGCTAACGGAAGTAAACTGCCATGTAAAAGCTACCTTTTACTTCATGTTTCCTCTTATGCTTCAGAGCACCATTGTTGGAGAAACAGGAAAGAGCAGAGAGGTATTTGGAAGTTGGCATGTTTCCAAGGCACTGCATTGGGTCATACTTCTAACACTCTTTAAGAAATAAGTTCTTCATTTTAAGGTGTTTCTCTGATTATAAAATAATTACTGGAAATTTAGAAAGTAAAGTGTAAACTAAAACTCACGAGAAATCCACTATCCAGACAGACCTGTCAACATTTTGGTATTGTTTGCTATTAGTCTTTTTTCTAATTTTAGCATATTTTCCATTCTATAGAATTTTATATCTTGCTTTTTCCCTCTGATTTGTTTCCTAGGTCAATAAAATTTTTCATAACAGTCAGTGGCTGCAAAATCCTTTTATGGATGTGTGATAATTTATCTCCTATTGTTGAACATTTCTTTTAAATTATCCTTATCAAAAAATTTTTTGAGTTAATTTCTTAAAAATTCTTTAATGGTCTTTGAGGTAGATTGTCAGATAAAATCTTCTGTTCAAAGAGGATACATTTTAGAAGTATGGAATAGGATAAGAATTGCATGAAAATTACCCAAGATTCCAACCACCATTAAAACATTTTGATGTAAATATTCTGGTCTCTGTATATACACTTAAAAAATTGGTATCTTAGTTATTTTTATGCTGGGTTAAAAACATTTTTAACATTTCCCTCTACTCTTAAAAGAGCATGGCTCTGTTGTATCCCATGTTCCATAATACATCGTTGGACATTTAAGTTGTTGGAAAACATTTACTGTTACAAATTAGACTGTAATGAATGTCATTTGTTCATAAATCTTTGTGAAGATCTTTCGAGTACTGCCTTACATTAAAGTCTTTTCCAAACTGGTAAAAGTGGCATATTTTTAACATTGTGTTTTCAAAGGGAGATTATATAGTAATTTTTAAAATGAGTTTAAATGTTTACATTTAGTCTCAGTTCCCTAAAGGACTGCTCCTTATGGATTCATCTGTTTGGCTCCTGAAATTCTAACCAGGCACCAGTCCCCTCAAAGTCTTAGCCTTTGATCTTTGGGATGATGCTGTGTTCATATTTGTCTAGTTTCCTAAGTTCTTATGAAATGACAGAGATGAAAACAAAAGTATCAGACAGGGCCTGTAAAGAGTGAGTGGTAATGGATAAAAATGTGCATAAATGTACATTTCCCACAATGTCTGGCACATGTGTTCAGCATAGCTTATTTAGTGCGCAGGGCCAACATGAAAGTGAGTCATCCGTGCCACACCGAGAACCTGCCTCCTAAGTGAGCTGGGCAGCGTGTCAGTATCATGCAATCCTGAGAATAGATAGACACCAAATAGATTTAGATACCAAATCTAAATCTAGGTTGTTACTGACTTTGGAGTAAAATGATTGATGATCTGTATGATACAATGATCCTGTCTTGCCATCAAAATGCTAGAGGCATTTTGGGGCATTTGACATCAAGTACAAATTGCAGAATTTCCCCAAATCCTGATTCTTAGACTTTTAATTGTGATGGAAAGGAGGCATTTACATATATCTAGTTTGTTTCTTTTTATCTACTTTGTGGGAGAGGCAGAAGCAAGGATTGGCTGTAGAGAGAACAAGACAATGTCGATTAAAGATCACACTTAACAAAACTTACCCTGTTAAGCTTGACCGAGATTTTGCAGCCTACGGCAGCAATTCTGGTTACAAGTACACTGCCACATACCTTTGCTTCTTCCCTTCTCTTTTTTAAAAATCTCTCCTAACCTCTTCTTTCTGCCTGGCTCAAAAGATCTCTTTGGCTTAAAATTTCTCCTAGCCTGGTACTAGTTCTTTAAGCCTGTGGCTGCATTTTAAAATTTAACTTAAATGAACATAAGTTCATTGGATTTGTAAAATAAGTGCTTTCTTTACTTTCTCTGGCCCCTTTCTCCCTCCCATCCTCATTCCTGGGTATAATCAAGATTGCAGCAGGCTACCAGCTTAACCCCCAAGAATAAAAACTTTTCAAGTTGCTCTGGGTCTATAAGGGGAAAAGTGGGTTAGCACGTGATAACCTACCCAGAATTTAAGGGGACTGATGTGGAGGGTATGCATAAAAGTAAGTTGAAAAATACAAAAACCTGATATCCCTTTCTGGTTATAAAAGCACCTGTAAAATTGTGTTCATTTAGAACAAGAGTTGGTAAACTTTCTGTAAAGAGCCAGAAGTAAATTTTTTTGGCTTTGTGGACCAAGTGGCCACCCTCACAACTGCTTGGTTCTGTCACTGCAACACAAAAACAACCATAGGACTAGACTACAGGTAAAGGAATGGGTGTGGCTGTGCTCTTAAAAAATTCTACTAAAATAAGGCAGTAGGCTGCATTTGACCCACCAGCTGTCACTCAACAGCCTCTGATTTGGAAAAGTATAAAATACCAAGCAAGTAAACACGTCAGAGACCAGACTGGCCTGGTTTAATCCAGGGATCACAGCCTTTTCAGTAGACTAGGCAAAAAAATTGATCTGCTTTTAAATTTGCCCCACCTTAGCTGTTAATTGGTAATCAAGCGTCATCTGGAACAATGATGCTTAGCATGGTGCTTGACACCTAGTGGTAATCACGTGTTTAAGTGGACAGTTAGCATGTTTTACATGCACCAGTATTTTGAGAAGAAAGTTTTCTATTAGGAAAGTTGAGAAGGTATAGCATGTGACTAAGAGCCAAGATACCTAGTCTGAGTCTATCACAGACTGTTTTTAATGACTTTGGGAAATTATTTCATATTTGTCTCACTGCTACCTCATCTGTAAAACAGATTGTTGTGGGAGTATTTCTTTGAAAAAGCTTTAAATTCTGTAAATATAAATTCTTAACAACATTAATTACAAAAAGCATTAGGAATTAGATGCAAAGAACTTCCCTATTAGTTTAATTATAAAAATGGGCTTGAAAAGGAGATGTGAAATTTCCATCATACCCTTAAAACTGTTTGAAAATAGGACAATTAGAAGTGTTACTCAACCCAACTAGAATGAGTGTCCAGCTTTGATGCTCTCCAGCAGCTGCTTCCCAGTGCCGCAGCCTACTGTGCTTGAGTTACCGTATTTGACACATCACACATTTTACATCAAGCAGAAACTGTTTTTAAGCTCAATTATGAAAAGGTTGGAAAAGGTAGGCCCTGATTTTAGCTTCAGCTTTCCAAAAGGGAGAGTTATGCTACATTACTTGAGGTTTCTTCAATTTAAAAAGGGCAGTAAAATGTACTGTTAAAACCTGTTGCTTGTTAAGGTTGTGTTAGTACTATAATTTCCACTATAAGTGCTTAAAGAGAAAGTTGTTTACTGTGCATCTCTACAATTTAAAATACACAGTGACTTTAAAATCTGTCACTATGCAGTTGTTTTTTGGTCATCTTTACTAACCTTTTTAGGTTACCTTTTAGCAGTTATACCTATAATTGTTTTTGTAGACTTTGAACAATATAGCCTTTTTTGCAGTAAAGTTTTGTACACTGAGATAAAAAAAAAACTTAATAAGTTTTACCCCCCCCAAAATACCTGTCACCTGTAGTTATTTGCTTTTCATATGACAATGGACTCCTGGAGCCATATATAGTCTCTGCAAATACTCTGCTTACTATTTATATCCATACTTGATGTCATATATTTATGAATATTTGATCCTTTCATATACCGTGTTCTAAGTGAAACAATTTAAAATAGATAAAATCTTCCTTTGCAATAGTTCCCCAGAATAATGTAAATGACCTTAAGCACTATTAAAAACAACTGAACTTCACAGCAGCACTTTTACAACAGCCAAGACATGGAAATAATCCAAATGTCCATCGACAGATGACTGGATATGGTGTATTTATACAACGGAATACTACTCTGCCATTAAAAAAGCCATTTGCAGCAACATAGATGGACTGGAGACTGTCATTCTAAGTGAAGTAAGCCAAAAGAGAAATAAAAATGCCATATGATATTGCTTATACGTGGAATCTTAAAAAAAGGACACAAATGAACTTATCAACAAAATAGAAACAGACTCATAGACATAGAGAACAAACTTACAGTTACCAGGGGCTAAAGGGGGTGTGGGGTGTGAAGGGATAAATTGGGAATTCAAAAATTGCACCTCTTGAGGAGTGATGGAAATCTTGATTGTGGGGGTGGTTTCATGCATGTACACATCTATCAAAATTCATCAAATTGTACATCTGAAATATGTGTAGCTTACTGTACAGGAACCATACCACAATAAAGGTGTTAAAAAAAGAAATTTAAAAAATGTGTACTCCCAACAGCAAAATAATTTTAAAAGTAAAATTAAAAATAAGTGAACTTAACTGATTAGATTATTTAAGGCATCTTTTATTTTAATTTTAAATGCTCAAATGAGTGAACTTTTTTTTTCTAGTTCAAATAAATAAATGCTCAAATGCCATTATTCCTAAATTTAGGTGACTGAAAAATATAAGTACATAATACACTACCTCACACTCTCCTTCCCAAAACAGGCTGGATTATATCTATTTGATTTATACACTGTGACTTTTTCCTGCTGTTTTCCATCAACCTTAATTGTGAAAAATGGTGCCATGTTGCCCTCTTGATATTATTTTGGAGATCAGTTAGGTCTTAAAGCATCCAGATGCACACAGTTCTACACATATCTGTAGAATTAGCTCACTAAGGTCTGCTCGGCAATATTTTTAATTGACTTACATGTTCTGTGGGAAAAGAAGAATCATAAAAAGTCTTTGCAGTTGCATTCCTCTCTTCACTGGGCTCTCCCTCGGGACCTGGATGGATACTCGAGTTATTCAAAGTGTCAGCAACTCTGTTGATGCTGGTAGTATCTGGTTGACAAAGAGGAAATGACAACAACCGAATTTTATTCTCCAGGCACTCATTTTAGTGACTAAATTGTTTTCCTCTGATCCTATGCTTTTGTATTTAAAAAGTAAGAATTTCTATTTTCTTCTTACTTTGAACACTGTAGTTTCCATAGACTTTGCTCTTACATTAGGCATTTCATTTCAGAAAATAATTTTTTATTGCTACTTTCTGAAACCTGATTTCACATTAAAATTAGTGACATGGTACAAATATCTTCTAAAACAATACACATAAAATGTTACCCTTATTCCCTGGTTACTGCACTGCCTACACTTGTAAACATTTATACAGTGAACATCTTACCAATTCAGATTAATGGGAAAAGGCTGAGCCAACTGAAAGTCAGATTTATAAAATATATTTAAATGACACTGGCCACAGTAAGAAACTCAACGGGGCTGCCCAGTAGGGGGTTATTGGGCTTTAATAAATAGGTAACAATGATTTACAGAAACATGTCTTTGAAAATTAAAAGATATTTAGGAATATCTTTTATGAGTTTAAGTTTTTTACAAGTTTAATTTCTATAGAATTTAAGTCATCTCTCCTTCCATCCTAATTTATATCATTGAGATTTAATTTAGAAGAAAGGACTTGTGAGAAAATAGTAGAGTTAGACTAGTGCTCGACTAACAGCATTTAACCATAGCATTTGACAGACAAAAGTAATGGAATCTGAAGTTAATGCATTTTATTATATCAGGAAAATTGTATTTTGTGAAATGTGATTTCACAGTGTTTCAGGGTTTTCTATTTTTTCCCTAATTTACCTCCACATTCATGCTAGTAAACAAGATATAGTTTTTTTTGTTTTTAATTTCCAATTTTTCTTTTAAAATTTTTCCTCAATTTCCTTTTTAAAAGAAGCCTGTTAAGACAGAGGGCCATTCAAAGCTTTCCTTGTAATCCACATTTCTTTAATGGGTCTAAGTGCGTACTGTTAAAGAGGCAAAGTTCCCTTTAAAATATAAGAATGTCTTTAACAACCTCAGCAACTTTAACTATGAAATTGTTAGGAGCAAAGTAAACAGATATTTTTATCATGATATATTCCTTAAACAATAGTTATCTTCAAGTTATATTTATATAGCACCCATTGATAATATGCAGTATTTCTATTTTAAAATCTTTAATATGAAAAATTTCAAGTATACAAAAGCAGAGTATGAACCTCGACATACTCATAACCCAGCTTCAGTACCTTTAATATTAAGTCACGTGTATTTCATCCATTTACCTCTCCCTATTTTTTTAAAATTCTGGAATATTTTAAAGCAAAACTTGGATATTGTTATTTCATACAGCGGTTTTAAAGAGAACAATCTATTACCTAAAATATTTAATTGAATGTGTTAAAATGGGCATATAATTATTAAGGGATTCAACTTAAAGTGTTTCAAACAGTGATAAATATCAATGATGTGAAAGGTATTAATGTTACACCTCACTATTAGTTGCAAAACAAAAGAAGAAACCTGGATTTGTGGTGCTAGTGAAGGGACACATAAAAATAGAAAAGGGAAGAGGGAAAAAAGTTGGAGGAAGAAAGTAACAACATAGGAGAGAAACTAAAACATGGTTCTTAGCGAAGAAGGTTGTTTTTGTTTTTGAGTACAGAAAGAAAAGGAGTAACACACAACTTCACTGTATTTGCTCTACAAAGTGAAAAAGGGGACTTGGATTAGGTAGACGTTCCTAATTAAAAATTAATCCCAGAGTTGTGGTTGTTTTTCCTATTTTCAGTTCTTTGATGATGAAAAGAAATTTTTTTCAAAAATTTCCAAACTGCAGTTTACCTCAGGACATGTCAATAATACTGGCTCAGATTTAGGTGAAAAGAAGTCCACTTGCATTCAAATAAAACCTTTCCTACTTTTACATATATACGTATGTGGAGGCTTTTAGGGTTAGGCAAGAAATACATACATACAAATATAAATAAATAATCATTTTAAACATCTAAAAAATTTTTTACCAAGAACTAGAATTATAAATACAAATTTTAAAAGAATTAAGACATAAACCTTATTTTCTTACCTGGTCCAATGTCCTTCATGGCATCCACACCAACATTTTGACAAAGTGTCATTGAAACAATCTTTTTGTTTTCGGATGGACCTACTGGTCTCTCCTTCAGCAAAAGAGGAATGCTAGATGTTGAAGTACTCGCTGTTTGACTTTCAATTTGATTTACTTTTGACCAAGGACTAGGGTCTAAAAAATTCACATATACTGGAGTTTTCTCAGTTTTTTTATCTGAAGTCGAAAGATCAAAGGCTGACCTTCCACTTGTGTTTACTAAATCTCTAGATGGCTTTATGTGAAATGAACATGATTCTTCCAGCTGTCCTTCACTGTAAGTTTTTCCTGAAACAATGTCATTTACTGACTCGGTTTGCTCTGTATTATTTAACAATGCATGCTGTCTTTCTTTAGGGAATAAGTCATTTTTTGTGGCTTCAGTTATCTGATTCTCTTCAATCTGACTCTTTTTATTGGAAAACTGTATTCCTGTGGAAGTTTTCACATGAACTTTGGCTTGTGATGCATGTATATTCTCCTTGTTCCCCTGAAGATGGGAAACAATCACATTGTTCTCTAAATGTCCCAAACAGTTCTTAACTGGACTGTTTTGCATCTCATTCACATTTTTCCATACAATTCTCTGAGGGCTTGAGTTGGGTTTCACCAACATAGGCATAATATTAACATTTTTATCTAAATTCTTGAAAAGTACGTTCGAATTGTCACTGAAAACAGCAGAAGTGTGGTGGTTGATTGTTCCATCACAGGGAATATTTAGTTCAGGTTCTTCTGAAGTATCATCACCAACTTGCTGAAAATCTGAAGTTTCTTTAAATGGCAAAATACACTCACTGTTTTTATTTAACAGCTGTATTGGTCTTATTTGACATTGCTTATCATCTAACATCACATCACTTGAATCCTGTGAACTGTATTTCTGACACTCAACAAGAGTCCTTTTTACAGCTAGAGATGAATCCAAATCTGCTTTGGTTTGGTGACTATTTTTAATTTCCTTCCCTGTGGCACTTTCCTGAGCCCTCGGAAGCAATCTGAATTGTTGTTTGAATGGCTCATTTTCAGAAACATCTTTTTTATGATTCGCATTGCAAGCCATCTCATTTAAGATACTGTTAAATGGTGTTCTGTTATTTTCAGTCTCTAGGTGCACATCTGCATGGTGACGACCTAATCCTTCAGTTCTTTCTAGGTCTATCTTTTCAGTTTCTATTGGTGCATCGGCCACTAAAAAAGAAATGTTTGGTGATATAAATTCTGTGCATCCATTGTCTTTTTCCAAGTCCACCTTGTCTTTTATTTTTGTAGTCACCACTTCTCTAAATTCGGCAACATTCGAGGTTTGTCCTTGACTAATTAATTCTTTGTCTGTGCAGAGGGTTTTGCTTAAGGAGATTTCATTCTGATTTTCATCCTGATGTACAATAATATCAGTTTCATTCTTCGAGCTTTTTTCAAAAAGCCCTAAGTCTGTTTAATGAGAACATAGTACATTTTTATGTTATTTATACACTAAAGCCTGCTTTTGAAAGACATGTATTACTTATTTTTCTAAAAACATACTTAGCCTTAAGTATTTCACTGGCAAGTGATTACACAAACATAATGACACTAATTTTACCTAAATACTGAGTTCCCTTTAAAAAGCATACATTTAGCATGCTAAAATGTTTGTCTCTACCCATAACTAAATTTTTATCTTATAACAGCAAAAATATTTTGGTTTAAAAAGGAAGAAGTAACTTGAGAGCATTACAAAATGTTTTCAATTTCTCTAGTCTGTTGCTTCCTTTTGGACATACAGTACAATTCCATATTAACACATAGCTGATTTGATAAAAGTTTACACTAACAGGTCATACTGTAATTTCTCTTACTACCTAGATGCAGAAATTGCTAGCTGGTTTCTTCATGACTAATAATCATCACTTTTTTACTCACTATCTTGTAAATACTTTAAAATTTTGGAATACTTAGTGTATAGAATATTTAAGACATTAATTTTACTCATCTGGGTTTTAACCATAGATTTAGAAACTTCAGTATAGTTACAATAATCTAGAATATAAATTTAGGGCGTGAAGGGCTTTTTTAATCCAATCATTCTCTCTACAACATCTCCACCAAGTGGTTGTTCAGCCTAGTTTGAACACCTTCAAACTGTGCCATCTTTAAATAACTCTTTTTCAATATGGACCAATTAGTTAATTATTTCTATAGTTACAGAAAGGTCATTTGAACTAAGAAAAGTGCTCTAGGGTCTGGTCATCAGAAGGTATTGGTAGCTCAGAGAACATTCTCAGCAAAGCGGTAAAGAGAGAAATCAGAATGCGAAAATCCAATGAGTAAGTGATGAGAAGTGAAAGTAAAAATGTATTTTTCTACCAAAATATTGACTCTATTAAAGAATAGCTCAAAAAACATGCATGTACTTTTGTTAAGATACATACAACTGGAGAAATGTTTCTCCAATTATACTACTAGGTCCTCAAATCAAAGACTGTAATTGATATCCTCCTAAAAAGATCAATATAAAAATTAGAAAATATGAATATAATCTTAAGTTACCTTCTATAATGATTTCTTCTATAAACAGGCCTTCTTTATTTTCCTCCTCTTTTCTGTATTCAGTGTCTAAACAATAATTCACACTATTTTCTTCCCTTATTTCTTGCCCGGAGTTATATTTCTGTACGATTGTGCTTTCTGATTTTCCCATTGACATTTCAGTACTTATTTCTGGAATATTCTAGTGTAAAATGGAAGAGATTCCTTTAATGTAAAAACAGACTGTTAAAAAGTATAAAACATTTAAATGAACTTTGCTAATAGAAGTGGAATCTGTGTTTCAGTTCAACCATTCAGCAATTGCTATTTGAAAGCCAAATTATTTTTTTTACTAAATTTAATATAGTACTCTTTGTAATAAGATGACTGTAAGTTCATTTTGTATAGTCTATCATATTTAAACAAAACAGAGACCCTTGGATGTTTTCAAACATGCATTCCACATTATTATACAATACCACGTATTATATGAAATAAAAGTACCACTCCTTTATTAAAAGCAAGGTAGTCATGGCAGACAAGTTGTTTTGAGTGTTTGGTATTTGTATGTATCTTTAAAATAGTGACTCAATTCAACATCTTTTTATTCTCTCTAAATATTAAGCACATATTACATGGAAGCACTGCACTAGGCTGTGGGATACGATGATGAACAAAATACAGTCCCTATCTTCAAAAAACGTACGGTCCATTGGGGAAGATAGGAAAAGAAACAATAAGCAACTTAAATACAGATGGGGATAAGAAGGCACTCTAGGGAGAATAAATAGCATAAGCAAATGTTAAAAGAAAACAAAATTATAGTCTTTTCATATAGTTCTACTTCATGGAACTACTTGTGATTTACTTTAGCTTGAGCTTGGGTGTTGGGAGAAGAATGAAGAAAAATGAGGCTTGAGTTAGGCCTAGGTCATTAAGGGCCTAACACAACATGCTAAGGAGTTTCAGCTCGGGAAGACAATGAGAAATCACTGAAGGGTTTTAGATAAAGTGTTTAACATGAGCTGACTGGAAAGACCATTCTGGCTGCATTCTGAAGAACAGATTAGAGTAATGTTTTCCAAAGTTCACTGCTTAAAACCTGCAATAAGAAATAAATATACTTTACAACACAATGAGCATATCAAACAATACTGACTCTTAATTGAGATACATTGTAATATTTTTATGCTACATTATTTTATTTCATTTTTAAAAGAATGCCAGTCATAAACCACTAAACTGATTTCCATGACCCACCAATAGGTTGCACTTAGAAATCTGAAAAAACACTGAATTAAAAGAAAACAACACGTGAGGCAGAGAGATGCATCAGAAGAATGCTATAGTAGTGCAGGTGACATCAGTAAAGATGAAGAGCCTGAATAGAGTCAGGAATTATTTACTGAGCTAATATCAACTGTTGAATGAGGGCTGAGAGGAGAGTCAAGACTGATTTTCAGAGTTCAGATTAGATATCTAGGTGACACGGAGATGTTATTTACTGAGCTAGAAAACAGGAGTAGCAGGTTTCGAGAAAAATACCATGAGTTCATTTTGAATCTCTCGAGTTTGAAGAGTTGGTAAGACAGAAAGGTGGACATGTCTAATGAACATTTAGATGTATGAATCTGGAGCATATAAGAGAAAATTGAACTGGAAATGTAAATTTGAAAATCACTATCAAAATTATGGGCTAATAAATGTTTGCTGTTTTAAACCACCAAGTTTTGGGATATTCGTTACACAGCAATGGATGACTCTTAATATGGCTGATGTTGGAACAACTCAGAGGCTAGGGGGCACCAACCCTTGAAGCAGTCAAAAATCTGTGTATAACTCACAGCCGGCCTTTTGGATATGCAGTTCCTCCGTATCAACGTTTCCGCATCCACAGATTCAACCAACTGCAGATCGTGTAGTAATGTAGTATTTACTATCTGAAGAAAACCTGTGTATTGTTGGGACCTGCACGGTTCAAACCTGTGCTGTCCAAGGGTCAGCTATACAAGTATCCTTCTAGGATTTCACAGTTAATAGGAACTGAAACAGGATTTGAACCTATATTTATCCAACTGCAAAGCTCCTGCTATTTTTCTCAATCTTCTTTGCAAACTTCTCCTTTCCAAGTTTCTCCTCCTCTGCTTCTCCCTTGGGGATTTTCATTAGCATTTCATTCTTTATTCTCTTTCTTCTTAAAATTACTCTTAGTCAGTCTCATCAACTTGTTCATCTTCAGTTGCCATCTATCTGCCAGTGATTTTCTTAAAGCCCCCCAGTACAATCAGTTTTGATAATTTTTCTCTTTCAATGGACTTGTCCTTTTCATCTAAGTTGTCGAATTTATTGGCAAAGAGTTGCTCATAATATTTCCTTATTATACTCGTCTGTAGGATCTATACTGATGTCCCCTCTTTTATTCTTTTTTTAAGTATACAACATAACATTTTATTGACCTTTAAAACTCTTAATTTATGTGTCCAGTGATAAATATTATATATTGATGAATATCAGATATTCCTACTTATCCCCATTTTTAAATTAACAGTTTTTTTAGAGCAGTTTCAGGTTCACAGCAGAATTGAACAGAAAATAGAGAGTTTGCACATAGCCCTCCCCACCCAAGTTCCTTGAAAAAGAAAAACTACCAAAACTGATTGTGTTGGAGGTCTCTAACACCACCCCCAGGTTCAGTGATTTCCTATGAAGGCTCATAGGGCTCGATACACGGCCATACTCCTGACTAAGATTCGTAACAGCAAAAGGATATAAAGGAAAATCAGCAAAGGGAAAAGGCATAAGAGGTGAAGTCTGGAGGAAACCACTTACAAACTTTCAAGAATCCTCTCCTAGTGGAGTCACGTAGAACATGCTTAATTCCTGCAGTAATGAATTGTGACCACAGTGATGTGAAGTGTCTACTGGACACTCATGAGAGACTCAGTACTCAAGGTTTTCTGGAGAGGTGGTCACCCTCTGCCTAGCACTTGCCAGAACTCCAGACTCTCAGAAAGCAAGCAGATGTTCAGAGCAAACCACTTAATAGTTTAGGCACAGTGAGCCACTCCTGTCTATTAGGAAATGGTGGGAAACCTCCCCATTCAAGTTTCCAGGTATCAGACAAGAGCCAACCTTACAAGCAGGTCTTTCAAAGGCCTTTCACAGGCCTGCTATGTCACTATTTTCTGCGCACCAACACAGGAAGAAATTGAGAATCTGAATAGCCCTATAAATAATTTAAAAACTAACTTTGTTATTAAAAATATTCCCACAAAGGAAAAGCCTAGATAGCTTCACCACTGAATTGTATCTAATATTTAGTAAAGAAATAATACCAGTTCTACACAAAACTCTTTTGGGAGGAGGGAACACATTCCAACTCAATTTATGTGGCCAGTATTAATCTGATATAAAAACTGGACCAAAAGAGTACAAAGAAGAAACAAATGAAATCTACAGATCAATATTCCTCATCAATTCAAAACCCTAAACACAGCATTAGCAAATCAAATCTAGCCATACATAAAGAGGATAATACATATCCCAAGAATGCAAGTTTATTTTGAACACATTAACAGAATAAAGAAAAAAATGATCTTCTCAACAGATACAGAAAAAGCATTTGACAAAATTTAACACTATTCATGATAAAAATTCAATCATGATTAAAAAAACTCCACAAACTAGGAACAGAAGGAAACATCTTCAGGCTAACATCATATGAAATGGTAAAAGACTACTCTCCAACTAAGATGAGAAGCAAAGCAAGCCTGTCCACTCTCACAACTTTTATTTAACATTGTACTGAAGGGTCCTAGACAGTGCAATAAGTTGAGGGAAAAAATAAAATGCATACAGAGCAGAAAAGGAAGTAAAATTCATCTGCCTTAAATTCACAGATGACATAAAGTACTTAGAAAACTCCAAAGTTCAACAACAAAAAAAACCTACTACAATAGTAAGTTAATTAAAAAGGTAAAAGGATATGAGATCAATGCACAAAAATCAATTTTATTTCTATATGCTAGGAAGGAACAACGAGAAAAATTAATTTTTTAAATACTGTTTACAGTAAGGTCCCAAAACATGAAATATTCAGGGATAAATTTAATAAAATATTTGTAAGACCTATATAACGAAAACTACAAGACATTTCTGAGAGATATTAAAGAATATCTAAAGAAATGTAAAGACACAACACGTTCACGAATTGTATGTTAAGATATCAATTATTTGCAAATTTATCTATACATTCAACACAATCCAAATCCAAATCCCACAGACTTTTTTCTTTAGAAAGTAACAAACTGATTCTAAAAGTTATATGGAAATGCAAAGGACTCAGAATAGCCAAAACAATTTTGAAAAAGAACAACAAATTGAAGGACTTACTCTACCACATTTTAAGACTTCTTATAAAGCTACACTAATAAAGTGTTGTACTGGTTTAAAGATAGACACACAATCAAAGGAATATATAGAGGGTACAGAAATAGACCCACATGTATTTATTTGGTCAACTGATTCTCAAGGAAAGTAACAACGTACAAGGGGAGAAAAAAATTGTCTATTCAACAAATGTACATGCTGGAACTGAAATTCATGACCAAAAAACTGACCCTCAATCCTTATGTCATACTATACATAAAAATTAACTAAAAATGTATTACAGACTACATGCTTATATACATTTTTAAAAGTTGAGAAACTGAAAATATAAAGCAAGGAGAAAATCATCAGTGATGATTGTAATTTATAGCTTATACCTCCAACATACTTGAATTTTACCTGAAACTTCTTGTCTTCCTCAAACTTTTTCTGATCACATAATTTGTCATAACGTTCTTGTAACTTAGTATGAGTTTCTTTAAGTGATGATAACTCATTTTTAATCTCATTAATTTCTCCATTAAGTTCTTCAACCTAATATAAAATTTAACCAAAGTGAACACATATATAAATTTGTATTGTATGAAAATACTTCATTAACAGAAGTTTGGGGAAATAGTAAAAAAATGAAAACATTCCCAAGTAATTACTAATATTAAGAGCTACCATTTATTGAAATGTACTGAGTACTCAATAAACACAATTTCACACTCATAAAAATCCTATGAGGCAGTTTTATTGCTTGTTTCATTCTTTCTTCGGGGTGAGGTAATTAGGTTTGTTTGTTTGGTTGGCTGGTTTGTTATTTATTTATTTATTTAGAGTTGAACCCACCATCTCATGCATGTTAAGCATGCACTCTACCACTGAGCTATACCCTCCCTTCTCTGAGGTAGTTTTAATCTCCAATTTACAGGTGAGAAATGTGAGGCTCACAGACGTTGTTAACTTGCCCAAGATCAGGTAGACATAAAGTAGCAGTTAGGATTCAAATCCAAAGCTAAATCTAGGGGTTATGTTCTTAAGTACTACATTAAACCACCTCTTGTTGTAAATGAAAAATTATTTTTAATAATAAAACATTCCATGAAAGTTTTATTTTCTTATTGCAAATTAGACATACAGATTTTAAGTCAGCTAGACGAAGAGTACTGAGCACTAGGTAGTCCAACAGAAACTGACACTTCAGCCACAATACTCACATCTACAAACTGGGCTTTTACTGGCTATAAAATGTCATAATCTTTTTCTTGGAGAGGTTCTCCTTCATAGAAACCTCAAATGTGAGACAAAGTAAGTTCCATCGAGGAGGAAAATACCTTTTTGTCATTAAAGACTGCAAAAGTTTCTTGAACAATTTTAAACTACCAAAAATTCCACAAATGTGTGTAATACTCCTTATGGAGGCTAACCTATTACTTTCCCTTCATCTTACCTATTTTTCACCATATTTTAATCTATCTCTTCTTTTCCAAGGCTTGATTCTCCATGCGCTCTCTCCCATCTTATCCTAACTCCCTGAGTGCCTGGCTCAAGCAATGATCTCTCCTGCCTATTCTCAATCTTTCCCACTATACCAGCATTTCTCAGCCCCCAAATATGTTCTTGTTACATTCCTAAATTTTTTTCTCCTTTACCCAATTACTTTGTCTCTCTAGCTTCTTAAAATAAAGTTTACTCTTGCCACTTTCAAATTCTAACCTCCCATCACTCCTTAACATCTGGACTTCGCCTTCGTTGCTCTACTGATTCTCAGGTATCACGTGCAAATTAGCAAAAGGACTTTTTCCAAGTTTCATACCATTAACAGCACTGTAGCGTGACTATGTGGACTATTTGTTCTTGAAATAGCCTCTTCATTTGCATCGTCTACTCTCTATTTATCCTCCTACTTTCTCACTGTTCTTATCAGGCTCCCGCTCCCCTTCTGCCCCAATACACACACTAACCACTCACAAAATGTTGGCATTCCCCAACATTCTTCTTCAGCTTTCTCTTCCAGTACTCCACTCTTTCTGTAGATAATCTTATTATACCTTCAAATTTCATTTTTACCCTAATAACTCTTAAATCTAGATCTCATCTTCCGATCTCTCTCCTAAGATTAGATTGTTACAAATGCATGATATACATTTCAAGTCAGGTGTCTTGCAGTCACTATAAATTCAACAGTGCCTGAATTAAACTCATTTTCAAACATCAAACCTGCTTCTTCTTTCACAACCCGTATGTCAGTTAGGGACATTATTTTCTGCTCAGAATCATAGTTGACTCCTTTCCCTTCTAAAATTGATATTTAAAAATGTCACTAATCCTGCTAATTTTACCTCCAAAATGCTTGCTGCATCTATCCCTCTTCTCTGTTCTCACTACCACTGCCCTAATTCCCACCCTCATAGCCTCACGGTCAGGTTATTTGCAATATTCTTACTGATCTCTTTCCATAGTGCCATCCTCCAAACTGTTCCAAGAGTTATCTAATATGGAGATCTGACTATTTGTCATTTTCTGCTTTAAAAAATCTCACTGATTATCATTATTTATAAAATAAAATTCAACTTCCTTAGTAAAGAGCTCTTCAGAAGGTGATCTCAACCTAACTTCCAATGTCACAGTCTAGATCAGATTATTCATCATCCTTGAGAATGCAACTTCATGTCTCCATCATTTTTTCCCTTTCTTAAATGAAATGCCAACAGAATGGAATGGGAAGTGTAGAAAATGGGCAACTTCTGCCTGGTGAAACCCTCCCTACTCATCTTTCAATTCCAAACATAGTGTCAACTTTTCTCTAAAACTTTCTTCAACCTAGTTAAGCAACATGATTTATTTTGGGCTTTCATAGTAATTTGTTAAGATTAATGTTAATACTACTAACAACATTCTACACTACTGTGGTTAATTTAATAATTACCTGTATGAGAGTGTGAGCTTTTTAATACTCTTTGTATTTTAGAAATCTTTGAAAATCCAGCACCAAGAATAATGCCTAATATTTAACAGATGCTCAACAAATGTTGTGAATGGAATTCCTTTTGTGATTTCCCCATCTTTCCCTAAATTCTGCACATCTTCATTTATTATCTTTTTTATCTATACATATCCATTGGTTATATAACTAACCAAATGAAAACAGATACACATACTACGTTCTTTATGACACTTCAATGAATTTTAAATACATTATCTAGTAATATTCACTGTTTCATTTGTACAGCATTTTCTTTCCCTGTTTATTTTTTCTACGTTTATAGCAACAGTTTATATGATTTCATCTTACTTTTGTCAATATCTTAGGTTTTTTTTAAAATCCATCTTGATCCAGTCTCTGTGGTATGGGACCTCAGAAGCAATACCATAATTCTCCCTCACTCAAGAATGGTAAAGAAAAAAAACCTCACACAGAGATAGAAATGCAATTAAAGATTTGATCTGATCTCCCATCCAAGAAAACTCTTATTGATTCAAAGTGGCATTTAAAAAATTTAACTATGTTCTGTTTAGTAGTAAAGCATATAGAAGTGAAATGATTGTAAATGCTAAAAATCATAAGACAAAACTAACTTTATCCAAATTATAGACTTAGGCCTTACTAGTGAAGCTGAATGCTTATCTTTTTTTTTTTGATTTGAATGATTTTTTTCTTAGGGGAGGGACATGGTTGGGGCCTAATCAGGAAAAATAAATGTTTAATTTTCTTAGCTCAACTAATTTTTTTTGGCATGGTTGGCATATTTAAGTTTACATTTTCTTTTCACTTTAGTTTTCCTTACCCTGACAGTACTACTTCCACGGTCTTTTAAACATTAGGAATGAGGAGGAAGTGTTGGGATGCCAGGTGGATTAGATGAAGCTAAAATGAATATTATTATGCTTGTTGCTTATAATGATAAACTTTACCTATATAGAGATAATAAAGCATTCTTTAGTATTCTGATACAATTAATTACAAAATATTTTCTGAGAATTGGGTAAACCTTATCAAATTCATCAGTGAAGATTTGATTTCTTAAAAATCAAATTAAGAGAACATGTTAGCTGCAAATGGATTGAAAAATCAACAATCACTTATATAACAATTTATATCAAATAAAATCATCTAGAATGGTACATAGTTATATATTAGTATAAAATATATTAGTATAGTATTAGAATTAAATAGCATAATACTTTAAAATATAATCTTACCTTCCCAAAATATAGCTTCTATAAACTCATAGTGACTTTCTATTTTGTTAGTTCTTTTAAAATAATTGAAGACAATAAAAATAGATAATAAAATAGAATAATCGATTTTGGGGTTCACCAGTCTTTAAAGTGAAACTTTATATTTCACAACTTTAATTTACATCACTTTACACTTTTATTATCTACTTCACTGAATTAAAATTTAGTGTAAAATAAACAGATGTGCTTTAAGGAAATAGCCATGTTTATAACAACTCTCACGATAAAATGTTAATGCTATAGAACTCAACTACTGCACACATGTTCCAAATATGGCTTTAATACGACTCAACAAAACTGCTGAGGAAAGCTAAAGAGATCAGCTAACAATAATATCTTTATATAATTTGTTATTTTAATCATTTACTAAAACACTATCAATGGTTTTCTGAAAAGGAAAATTAATTTTTACATGTCACATATGAAAAATCATACTATATATATATACATATATATATATAAATACACATGTATATGTGTGGTTTTTCATGCATGGAAGCATTACAGAAAATTTTATTAAATTTCGCCTTACAAACATTCACTTCTTGGAAATATAAGTGCAAGAAGAAAATGTGTCTGACTTTATTCCTATATTATTTTTGCAATATTTTCTTAGCATTTAATAGTTATTTTAAATGTCTATGACTACTTAAAATATTTTAATATTTTACTATTTAATAAACCTACATGCTTTTTCCAAGTTCCCAGTGCTTTTTCATGCTCATTTTGAAGATTAAGGAACTTTTCTTCATTTTCTTTTACCTTCTCCCTTTGCAGCTCATTATCTCTTTCAAGGGTCTGCAATAAAATTAATTATCCAAAAAATAATCAATACCACATTAATGAATTTTGATGTGTTTTATGTTGCTTGGACCTTTGCTTCTAACATGCTGAAAGTGCCATACAGATCAGTGATAATGTGCTATCTCAACAATAATTTTCATAAATTAACAGAAAGGTGCTTATAGTTTAGTTAACAGGAGATAGGGGGAGGTTATGAAAAAGAAATGGCTATAAAAGGGTATAAAAACATTGCCATTATTCAGTTTCACTGCATAAGTTTTAATGTACTGAAAAAGTAATATAAAGTACAGCACTGAAAAATATGAAATGTAGCATAATCCAGCCTAACCCTACTAAAAAATTTTAACTACCACAGGACATTTTTTCCATATCTATTTCAGAAATTAACTGGCTAGAAAACTTTTAAATATAATTTTAATTTTTAATTTCAAATTAATACTTTTTAGTAGAGCTTTAATATTTACTATATTAACTTACTACTTCAGAAATTAACATACTATGTAATCACCAACACACTCCCCTGTCCCTCTCTCAAAAAACCTTTAAAGGGTAAAAATACTACTGTTTTCTAAGACAGGGGTTTAAAAGCTATTAAATCAGCATCACCAATATTATTAGGTTTCTTCAGTGTCTGCTGATAATCCAAGTCAACTTCTGGAAAAAGACAAGTAGTAAGAATTCTACCTACATGTCTAATACATCTGGAATGTTTATGTTCATTTGTTTATCATTATTAAAGCTAAGTACATTCAGGGTGAACATTCAACCACACAAAAGATACAGAATGAAAAGGTGAAGTTCTCTTCCACTGGCTCTCCAGTTCTCCTCCCCAGATGTAACCACTCTAGTAGTTTTGTGTATCTTTCCATAAATTGTTTATAAGCATACAAGTACATAAAAATATCTTTTCAGATAGGGATGAGATCATATACATATCATGCTGTCCTGCAATCTGCTTTTCTAAAAATATGAATACTATTGTCTTGCTTAATTTCCATATTATTATATATGGATCTATCTCATTTTAAAGGCTTCATAGTTTTCCATCTATTTAAAGAGTTCTCAATTACTATATAAAATATTAATATGCAAAGACATAATTATGCAAAATTATGGAAACATCTAATGAAAATCATTTTACAATTTTAACAGGAAGATTATCCTCTAGCTCAAAGGACTATGCATTTTCAGAACACTCAATGAATATGTATTTTGACTGCCTCTACTTCAGGACAATGTAAAGTTTTTAATAGATGTCATGATTTTGTTTTAATTTATAGGTACATTTTATAACAGGGCACTTTCTGAATATTTACAACAACGTATATTTAATGGATGCTTAGTACTTTAACATTCTAAAATATTTTATGGCATCTATTTATATTTATAACAGTGCATTTTTAAAAATAGACAAATTAAAGTTTAAAGGAGATATGGGAGAATGTATCACAGACTTTATCCTAGTAGTAATAACTGACCAAGAGCACTATGTTCTTAAAAAGTACATTAGATATATCAATAATTTCCTGTCCCTATCCATAACCCCTTCTAAAGAAACTGCCTACAACAGGTATTTTCTCAGTTTCCAAGTTCTGGAGACATTCCAGCCTTCCCTTACAATTTGGACTTACTGCTCTTTCATTCTGCTACACTGATCAGGTTATCTCTGAGAATTTCCTTCTCTCTTCCGTGGCGGGTCTCCTGTTTCCTAGATCTCATGATTTCCTCTTGTTTTATTACCTTGTCTTAGTAAAGTAACCTTTCTATTACTTCTTGATAAAGGAGGCTGAGATTTTTTTGAGACCTTGCATGTCTGAAAATATGTTTATTCTACTAAAACTTAACAACTCGTTTGGCTAAATACTGTACAATTCTGCCTTGGAAAGCAATTCCTCCCCAGCCTGTGAAGGCATGGTTCTATTTATCTTCTACCTTCCAGTGCCGCCAATGAGAAGTCTGAAGCCGTTACGTTGCCATTCTCATTTTGAATCCTTTTAACATCATCTGTTTTTTTTTCCCACAGAGGGTTTTATAATGTTCTCTTTAAGTGTAGTATGAAATTTCATTATGATATGTATTGGTGTTCGGCAAAACAAACTCAGATCCCTCACTTCTGGGTTGCTTTCTTGCATTATTTCTCTGGTTGTTTGCTCTCCTTCCATTTTCTCTGTTCTCTCTGAAACTCACCAGACATCTTGGACTGATTGCCTCATTTTCTTTCTTTCCTATTTTCCATTTTCTTGTCTTTTGATTCTACTTCCTTAGAAGCTTAGCTCAATATTACCTTCCAATCTTTGCATTGTACTTTTATGTCTGCTAATATATTTAGTTTTATTTCTATGAATGTGTCTTTTTTTAGATTCCTAATTATTGATTTGTGGATTAATAAATAAAATTCTCTTAACTGAATAAATTTTTTTAACTTTTCCATGTTTTTTATTTTCATTAGCCTGTTTGTTTTGTCTCTTTTTCACATTGTTCATATTTAAGAATGAAATATTAAAAAGCTGGCTAAAAGTTTCGTTAACTACAAACTTTCATCGCTACAGCGATGGGCTTCACCGTATGTAAAATCTAGCTCAGCCGTTTTATCAGGACAGCTATAGTCTTTTCTCTTAAGTAAGTTTTAGTTGCCCCAGAATGGAATCTTCCATTCACCTGCCTGGAAGTTTTAAGGCTAACTGCCCTCTAAAAGGGGAAACGTGGCTAGGAGTCTTCAGAGTTCAGTATTTAGACTTTCTAAACTGTTTTCAATGTAATATTTTCAGTGCTGTGCTGGTAAATTAGGTCTCAAAGGGGAAAAAAAATAAAGCATGCTTTGCAGCATTTGCCAGTTTCTTTAGTGTTAAATAGACCTACCATTGTCAATTTCAAGCTACCACTGGTTTAAATCCACTCACAAAATGACAACAGCTCTAACAACCAACTCTCCTGGTGCACAATGTCTCCAGCACACTACTGGATCTCCCCAACTTTAGTTGATCCTCAAATTCTCCAATGTAATCCTCCAATCTTCTGCCAAATAGGAGACAGAGAGTGCCTATTTGTGCAGGGTAGGAAAAAGAATCTGGAGGTGCAATAGCTTCTTATATAGACCTAGTTTCTGGCTTCATTTGTACACCTCACTTCTGGAGTCACATGATGCTGGCAATTCCTAATTATTTCTGTGTCTTTGACTTGGGTTTCTACTTCCTCTCATTTGCTAAGTGAATTACTAATTTTCCATTCGGTTTCCACTTTTAAAAATTTATTTTTATTGTTTCCTTCTCCCTATTTCTTTGTCTTTGTGGATTTATTAATGTCATTTTATTGCAGTTTCAGAAGGAAATGGAAAGGAATGTATAAGCTCAATTCAGTATGTTTGACCAGAAGCCCTGACCTGGCAATATTTGAACTTCCAAAGAGTCTGAATTTGTTCACTGTTAATCATTCATTAATTTAATAAAATTTAATGAGCTTCTATTAAGAGCCAGATACTCTTTTGGGCTCTTATACATTAGTGAAAATGTTACTGTTTTTATGGAATTTATATTTTACCAGGAAATTATTTGGTATTACCTGCATCTGGATTAACAAATCTGAAAACCCTCCTGAAAAAAATGTATATTGTGGAAAATCAAAATAAAACCACTTGTTAATGCTTTAATATACCAAAAACTAAGTAAATTATTCTTCAGAACACTATGACTATAGCAGTATAACTATACTTTTATCTGGACTAAGCTGTGATTGAATCACAGTAGAAAACATTCTCTATCATGAGAATTTAGGTCTCTATGTTCCAAACTGAACTTAAAAAGAAAAAAAAAGATGACAGCATGATTGCAGAGCACTGAAAAACACTAGGCCATTATGAAGAGTAATGATCCCTTTTAGTACAGGTGGAATTAGAATGCTCCTCGAGAAAACACTTGAGATATCTGTGCAGCATAATCCTCAGCAACAGTTCAACGTTAATATTTTTGTCATAATATATATCAGTGGTTCTCTAACAGCAGTCTGTAAACAAGTACTGATCCATGACAAACCTCACTAGTCCATGGCAAAAAAACGTCAGTGTAAGGTCATCTAATACATTTTCTTGTAAAGGACTGTCCTTTTTCTGGTATTATATCCTTAATATACTTTAGGTGTTAAAATATTCTCTTTTATAAGATGAAAGTGATGATAGATGGTATTGTTTATTTTTTAACGCCCTTACCTGTTAACATAACAAGCTGACAATTATATCCTGTCCTTGCCAATAATTTGAAATTTTACTATATAAAATCTAGATTCTCTATGTACTATCAAGGCTCAGGTGGCCTCTCCCCACCCATGTGACCCAGTCGATCCACAGCAGTGGCAAGACAGGAGCAGGGAGGATGAAGCTCTGCCAGGCCCAGGGCACCAAAGGGTAGGAAAGCCAGCATCCAAGAACGGGTCCTTGGAGGCAGTGGGAGACAGGAGAATGCTGGAGCTGAGGCTCCAAGCCCCGCTTCATACTCCATTTTCATATCAGACTTAATTTACAAAACATACATTCAAAGAAAAAAATTAATAAAAGTGTCAAGAAGTGACCACAGAATATTAAACCTGAAGCTCACAGCTCTTCTAGGTATTGGTCTTACGCAATTGCAGTGGTTACATACCCATGAAACTGGTCCAGGCTTCTACCGATGGTGGCCCCTATATAGGAGGTGAACGTAATTTTCTTGGGAAATGTTTAGCCTCATCCTTAATTACCAAGAATTCCTTCAGAGGGGCACAATTATCTTCTACTGGCCACCCCAGTGGAACATGTCCCCAGCTCCTTCTCTTGAACTGGACATCCCTTCACTTGGCAGTTCCCGCCCTTCCACTAACCTCCACATTCCTTCACATGGAGCCAAGGAACCACCAGGTTCTCTCTTCTGCACCCTTCCAGGACCATACAGCATTAGAACAAGCATAATACCCACTTCACGCCCCACTGGAACAGATTACTCCAAAAACTTTCCTCCTTGAAATTTCTAGACTAGAACTGGGCATCCGTCTATTTGTTCCTGGTACACTTCCAAACTTTAAGAAACACATGCCACGTTCTCCCACGTGACCTTAACACATTTTACTTTACTGGCAACACCATAATGGCCCTTCAGGTTTCTACAGCACCTCAAGCATCCATCTCAAAAACAAGATGGCAGTCCCCCATTCCTGTAACCCAATTGTACACATGATTTTCCTGTAGACTCCTTCACTTAGATTCGTGAGGGAAAACGCATCCCTCTCTACTAGGGATGTAAGAGAAAAGGCTCTCTTAACAAACCCTCATTCCCCAAACATCAGTGACCATAACTTCTTCCCCTCCCCAATCATTTTCTTATATATACTGGGAAGAGGATGATGGTGGTGATTGTTGTGGTAACAGGGCTAATTCTATCATGTACCTGTGAAGAAGGATCTGCCCCACCTCCTGCCCCACAATTTCTGGGAGCTCACTGATTGTTCTCTTAGAATCTGATGATATTTGTCACCTTTTATTTTCAGTTTTGGATCTTGGCCACGATTCTAAGACACAGGAAAAACCCCATCCAATCTGTTTCAAAATTAAATCAGATACTTGATAAAATTCAACACTTAACTGGTGGCTCAAATGTTAAAAAAAAAATGCTCATTACTTTGGACATTGATACCAAGCTGATGAAGGAGGACAATATTTTACCCTTAAAATTCAAAGTGATCTCAGATAAAGTTGGACAAATGCAACTAAACAGGTAAAGCTCATTAGATGGAAATACACTAATAAATACATGTTTTATAAACATTATATACATATATATACACATATATATATCCTGATTATTTCTTTTAGCACCTTCAATTCTGCTTCCATTTCAGCATTAGCTTGAGCCTGTTGTTGAAGTAACTGCTGCAGTTGTTGGAAAGAAATTATGATAGCCTTTAAAAAAATAAAAATTTATTAATTTAAAAAGTTTTAAGACATTAGGTATGTCTCTAAACTCATTCTTAAAATACATTTTCTAGTTTCTTAACTTACTAATTTTGTAGTTTAATTTTAATGCCATAATAAACAATATACTGAAATAAACTAATGGCACATTTTATTAATTTAATATCTAACATAAGTTATTTTATATAATTTCTTACAAAATACTATTTCTAAGAGTTCCTCAAATAATTAACAAAGTTCTTAAAATGACCATGGATTCTGAGACACTACTGAAAAATGTGAAGAATTCAAAACTAAAACTTTTGTTGTCTTCCCCCTCAAATAGCAAATATATCACTACTAAAATGTCATACCACTAATGGGCTAGAATGCCACTGCATGTGTTCAGAATCAAACAGAAGAAAAGCAGAAGAGAAAAAAAAGAAACAGTAGAAAATTTTTTTCACATATCTTTCTTTTTAAATAGATGAATTATATTTCATTTAATTTTGGAGGGGGGAGGAAGTAATTAGGTTTATTTATTTACTTATTTTATTATTATTTTTAAATGGAGGTACTGAGGACTGAACCCAGAACCCTGTGCATGCTAAACAAGCACTTTACCACTGAGTTATACCCTCCCTCAAAACAGAAGAATTATAAATATCAAACAGATTCAAATGAGAGTATAATATCCTATAAATGCATGCTCTAAGCATATAAACATGTCACTAATTATCTGCTAGGGTACCACTGGTCTAAATTATCAAGGAAGAAGCTGATTCATTTTTGTTCTTTAATCTTATTTATTTACAAAATATTTTACTGTAATCTTTCTCCAGTTTTATAGAGATATAATTGACATATAACATGTGTAAGCTTAAGGTATATAACGTGTGATGATTTGGTACACGTATATATTGTGATATAACTACCACAATCAGGTTAACATCACACATAATCACCAACTTTTTTGTGTGTGGTGAGAACATTTAAGATCCACTCTCCGTATAAAATAAATAAGCTACATGGATATATTGTACAGCACAAGGAATATAGCCAATATTTTATTATAACTTTAAATGAAGTATAATCTATAACATTTTTGAATCACTATGTTGTAGACTTGAAACTAATATGATATTGTAAACTAATATTGTAAATCAACTATATCTCAACTAAATAAATTAATTTTTAAAGCAACTTTTAAATATATAAAAGAGTACTGTTAGCAAAAATCATCATGCTGTACATTACATGTCCAGAACTTACTCATCTTACAATTGGAAGTTTGTACCCTTTGATGAACTCCTCTCTCCATTTCTCCTCTAATTTATTTTTTAATGGGTGTATATGTGAGACCTGGTTAAAAAGGCTCACATGTATCTATTTAATACATAACAATGTGTGCTTACTATTTGCTAGGAATCAACCTAGGCATGATTCTATTTGTTATTTAACTTACTTTACCTCCCATATTGTATTGGTTTTCAAAATATTTACTGGCTTCCAAAATATCTTATGATTGCTTGCCTGTTTTTCTTTTTGAATATGGGTGATTTCTTCATTAATCTTCTTATTTAATTCCAATTCCTAAAAAAATCGAATAACTTTAAAGTTATGATAGAAAATTCTATAAATTCTACATTCAATTCAGTGCTTAACAAATTTGGCTGTGTCATGACCTATTGTTACTCCAGAGCACAAACATTTGTTTACTGTTGGACTCTAGGCACTAAGTACCCAGTACACACTGGTGCAAATTTATAGATGTTAATGTTAAAAACAACAGAATTTCTCATCTCCAAAAGCTTTTCTGGAAACACCACTGTACCAGAATATTACCTGATACCATATTAAAATGAAAATAAAGTGATTATAGCCAAATTTTATTATCCTAAAGTCTTGTTTATGCCAAAAATTACCTAACAAATTTTTTAAAATTCATAAAATCTTTTTTTACTATGTATATTAACTCTATAAAGAAAGAACATTTTTGTATTATAATCCTCTTAACTGTTTATATAATCTCATAAATTTTACAAAAATGTTAATTTTACAAACATGAATATATTTAGTTAAATACCATTTTGAGTTTTTCTTGAAGTTCTTGAAATTTTTGTTCTTTAATTGTTAAATTGATGTTTTCTTCTCCCATCTTATACTGTTGACATGTGACCTTGGTCTTTATCAAGTCTGAGGTTACTTTTTTTAGTTCCTTAACATAAGAAACATCAGAGAATTCAGTACACATATTTCATCAAAGCAAGGCACTTTTCTGATAGCCAAGGTGGGAAAGCTATTTTGGCTATGGAACAGGCGAACACAATGACACATAGAACGCACTATCTCTGTTCTTAAAAACAATACACTAACTAAATGAACTAACCATTCAGAAGTAGGGTGCTTTCACTGATGACTTACTCAACAAAAATCTTCTAATATACAAAAGGTGATACAAAAGATGATCAATTCCCAAGTTCATCAGCAGCTAACAGGAAAAACTTAGTAAGAAATAACTATAACATAATGTGATGAGTGCTATATTCCAGGAATGTGCAGAAATATAAACAATGAAACAGTTCGGTTGAGGGCATCAAGATGCCATCACAGGAAAGTGGAATTTGCACTGTAGCAGCAGCAGCATCCACTATAGTCAATGGTGATGGTACAAACTGCAGTGTACAGTACTTAGTAATGGAAGCCGGTTTTACGCTGTGGTCCTAGATACTGCATAGCTTCCCTTGCTTCTGACCATTTTCCAAGTCTGAGATGACCAACATCCAAATTTCTTTGCTGAATTTTCTTATAATTAAGAATCTTGTTTAATATACTTCAATTTTTAAAAGATTATATTTAGCAACTGAATAAATAATAATAAAAAACAACTCTTTTGTAGAAAAAAGTTGGTTCATTAGGGAGGTGTGATTATAGCAAATTTTTATTTTCACTGCACTGTTTAATATTTTCTCTTTTTTTCTTAAACAAACGTATTTTTCATGTATCAGTTTTAAAAGAGTATTTAAAGCTAAGGAAACAGGTACAACTAGTTATTAGTTAGAGGAAAGAAGATGACAAATGACTGAGTCCCAAAGAACTCCAACATTCATGGATTAAAAAAGCTGCTAGTATAGAAGGCGGAGAAATACAGTCAACTGAAGTAGGAGGAAAACCAAGAGAATATGGTATCAAGGAACCTGAAAAAGGAGCTGCAGAAAACAGGGGTGTCAATACCTCCAGGATTCCACATGTTATAGCCTCAGCCACCGAGAGGGAAATGCGCCTGATCACCTTTTAACCCTCAGTTCAAAATCCAGGAGAAAGGATTCATTGGTTTTAGTTCATATATCCCCTTTAGATGTGCGCATTACATAAAATGACTGCTAAAGTAACCACATGGGTCAAAAGACAGGGCTTTATTCTCAGAAAAGCAGGTAGACAAAATTATGTCTGGTACAAAGAGAATAACTGGCATGTACTGAGTAATAAAAAAGAAGTCTGAATAAAGGAGGTAGGCCTTTAAGAATGAGCAGTATACTGGCTGTCCTTATTTGTCCCTCCTGATTTCACTCTCTACTCTTTGTCTGTGGCCTATGTGGCTGGTATCTGTGGATATAGCAAACAGGCTCCCTTCCCTCTGGTTTGGTTGGGTTCAATCTATGGGAGGCATCAGTAAATCAGTATGCTGGGGAGAGAAAGAGAGACTGAGGTACTTCCTGAGTTCCCTCCCTTCATGACCACAAATCGGCAATAACTCTGTACTTTAACCAAAAGTCACAGCTTCTGAATTGCAGCTTTCTTCTACAGCTTTACCTATAGCTCTCCCCAGGTTCCAGTACTGCTTCCTTTCCTTGCCACCTTCAGGTCTAGGCGGTGTAATTATTCCCCCACTTCTACCCCTTGTTGACTTCCATTAACTCTGCCCAAAACTTTGTAAATAGCTTCTCCATCAAACTTTTCTCAATTACCCATTCCGATGTGCCATCTGTTCCCTGCCTCAATCCTATTTAATAGAAGTAAATTGAGAGACGGCATTTCAAGTTGGGGTAGGGGATATGGAGCAGAGAAAAGACAAAAAGACAGGAAAAAATTAAGAACTATGATAATGGCAACAAAGATTTTGGATTAAACAGAATGCAAGATGCTTGTTAGGAGGTAGTAGGAAACAATGTTGAACACGCAGAATGGGACTAGACCATGGAAATTCTAGAAAACAAAGAACACTGGGACTAAATCAACATGTTGTACATCTTACACTTACACAATGTTATACGTCAACTATATCTCAATAAAGCTGGAAAAAAATTTTGAGACCTGATTTGGTGGACAAAAGAGAACTATTCAATCTATCATTCCTTCTACATATGCTAAGTATCCAGCATGTGTTAGGCACATAGAAGTAATATATTCAACTAGTACCTTAGTAAAGTTAGTCTGGCAAAAAAAGTGAATACAAATTGAGAAAGGAACACTGGCTAAGAGGCTATTTTATTAACCCACGCATGGGATGATGAATGCCTATACTATTGAAAAATGGAGAATGAAAAATATGAGACATTCTAAAGGAAGATATAATTGAATAGAAAAAAGGAAGTGAAGGGGAAAGGTAATTTCAAAGTGTCTAGGTTAATCTAGAAGAAATAAAAAACCATAAAATGTGAAAGAGAGATGCACGAAAATGGAAAGTAAATGAAAAGTCAGCTTCACTAATGAACGAGATGAAAAATTTATTAAAGACAACAAGAAATAAGAGATAGACAATGTTCTGAGATTGACTCAAGAAACTCAAAAAGGACAAATTAAGCCTAAGTCATAGTCTGTTGCTGATCTAAAACAAAAATCCCTCATTCATTATTTTTCAAATTATAAAAGGTAACACATGATGAATTCCCTCAAATGAAGTTTCAAAGTATCAGTGATGGTTCACCTTCACAGGCAGCAAGATGGCTTTCTTTTTTCTTGGTTGGGAAGAATGAAGAAGCAATCCCTACTACAATAAGTTACAATATACTTACTGCTAGTCAATACACTTATTGAAGAAGATGAATACACATAAAAGAAGATGACCTGCAGCCAGTTGAAAATATAGAACTGGAGATTAAAAGAAATGTGGGGCTAGAAATATAGATATGAAGTCATCTACATGAAGTGAATGACTGAATTGAGGAATAAGAACTAATTGAAAAAAAGAATATGAAAAAAAGAAAAACAGACACCTTATGATAAAGCTTTGGGGGGGGGAAATAGGGGGAAAAAAGAAGACAATCAGGGAGCCAGAGGAATTTATTTGCATCCAAAGACCCTTAAAAAATTAATACATTTTATATTTTAAACACCATGTGGAACAAAACACAACACTCTGTAATGGAAAACACAAATTGTCAGTATCAGGGTGCTTCAGTTATAATTATCAGAAAACCATACTTAAACCATTAAATAATAAGGAAATTTATTCCATAGCAAGTGGTAATTTAGGTAATACGTAGTAGCAACTCTGTCTTCCTGGAGCTTCTTCTAAAGAGTAAGAAAATTTTTCTTTAAACCACCTCCTGCAGGCCAGAATTAGATCCCATGCTCCTTCCTGAACCAAATACTGGCATGAGGAATGGAAATGATATTGATTGGCTTAGAGACTGGCAGTATACTGATGTTGAGGAATTATCACAGTGTCCGCTACAAGAAGAATTTCAACTAACATTGTAAAATTTATAGGTTGTTTAGACTCTTACTGACTACAAATAGTGTACAGCACAAAGTGAGGATAAATGAGGAATCTTTTTGACAAGCTGCTTGACATTCAGTAATTCATCTAACTGTCTTTGGGTTTTCAGTTTCCTTTCCAAAAAAAGAAGAGGTTGGATGCAGTTAATGGTTTTTAAATTGTGCTCTGAATAGTCCTAGAGGGTCCATGGAGTCCCTCCGCAGCTGCTAAAAGAGAAGGAAGTGTCAGCACACATGGCTCCAGTGCCTCCGACCCTCCCTTCAGGCAGGTGTAGCTCTAGTTTATTTAATATTAAGCTTCCAAATCTTGAACAGAAGGTTCTGCTGTGCAAAGATAAAAACAAGTGGATTAGATGATCCCTGTGATTCCAAGAAATTGAGATGATCTGAAGATAAACGGTTGGGAGAGAACCAGTCTTTGTAGAAACAGAATATAATTCAAGCATAAAGGCAGGAAGAGCAACTAATGAGTTAGAAGGAACATGAGACTTTCCTACCTGCTAAAAATTTAAAAGCAAATGAGGCTATTTTTCAGTTGTCTTAAAAGCCTCTACAAATAAATAACTCACCTATAGTTTTGGTGCAGAAAAACTTCATCCATCAAAAGTTGCCTTAATTTTAACCTAATTTCAGTTGCAAGTAACAATAACCTCATAAATAACAATAGCTTGTTAAACTTTCTGAAGTGCTTTTCCATTATATTTATTACACATATATAAAACAGAGAAGGCAGGTATCATTAAACTCATACTGCAGATGAGAATACAAAGGGAAGAAAAAAGAAAAGCAACACTAGTATGGTCTGTGTCACGCACCTCCTTAGGATGACTCCAGTTGGAAGGTTTAGTTTTAAAGAAAAAGGTAAAGTGGTGAGTTAAGATAAACAGAGTAAGTAAGAAATGTTATGCAGAGAATTCTGTGTAGGCAGGACTAGGCCAATGGACTAGGTGATGTAATGGGGACTGAAAGACTAGAAGTTAAAAGAACAGAAAGGAGTGTGTAATGGTACAGATGATAGAAAAGGATGCTCTAGTTGGAGAATAGGAGGGCTGGATGAAAAAGCCCACAGGAAGCAGTGTTTAATGATGAGTTTCAAGGTAGGGACATAACTAGTCTATATACACAGAGTCAAGGCATACGGGGAGCTGGTAGTTCCGGAGTATGAATATTAGCAATTTCTCCTTTTAATAAATATGCCCTTTCTAATGGCGAATGAAGCAGAGAAGGAATTTATGTGAATAAATTGTTTATGCTGGTAATATTATCAGTAGAATGGCTGAGATCACAGGTTCTGGAGCCAAAGTTGTCTGGGTTCCAATCCTCTCTCTCTTTTCCTTGTTGTAACTTTAGGTAACTTATTTAACTGCATTCGTCCTCAAGTTCCTCATCTGTAAAAGGGGGATATAATTTTTTAAAAAACTAACAAAGTGCCTGGCATGTAATACTCCATGCAACAAGTGTCTGTTGCCCATCTACTATGTGCCAGGCATATTATAT